ACACCTTTATTTAAAAATAAATATAAGATAAATTGAACAAAAAAAAAAAAAAACAACATTGACTAGTAATTTCTGTAATCACCAATTATTATTTAACCTCATTCTCTTAGATGGACTAGGCATATCACAATCATTCTCCTCATCGGAAGAAGATCCTGGAGGAGTAATGGCTTTAAAAATTTTATTTTTAGAAGCATGTAACATCCTCAATGGTTTCTTTAGGAAAACCTTAACAAATCCTTCAATTACTTCCTTAGATTTCTCTTCCCACTTGGTCATCATGTCATCAGTTCTTTCACCAATCGTGTCAAACAAATGCTTGCCTTTATCTTTCAGCTCGCCCATTTTATTTTGAAACTTTAATTTTTTCTCTTTTAGATAAGAAACATTCAAGTCTTTGGCTGAGTATCCTCTAGCCAAATTCCTCCTCACGTAATCGTCATAGTCTCTAACAATCCTGGTAACAATATCCGAAGTAGACACTCCATTAGTGCGTTCAGTAGCAACAAACATCCCTTTTCTTTTTAAGTCGGCGTAAATATCGTTGGTACCATCATGGGCGTAGGGTTCATCGTCGTGAGCCACAAAATCGATTTTGTTGTCACGTAGGAATTCATCTGAGTAAGTCCACGGGCCATTGCAAAGGACTTCGTCTACGTAACGGCAATGTCTGATGGCATTGTAACGTTCTTCTTCTGTTAGTACTGAACGGCCTTTGTATTGGTGTAGCATACGATCACTGCAGACTAAAATAAAGAAAAAATAATCAGTAAATGCAAATGAATTGAAATCTGAAAACCTAGAAAAAGTTCATTAGCCTACTTTCTACATTTGACTGCTTTAGCATAGAAAACACATTAGGAAAATCAGTTCTTGCCCAACAAGCTGCACAGAATTTGATTAATTGTTTAACTAATTTATTCATACTTATGATTCATGATAAAGGTATATTTTTTTAGTTCTTTATTTGTCATTGACACTAGAATAATCATGAAGTATAAAATTAATAATAAATTACTACAGTAAAGATAAAAAACGAAAATGTGAATTGACGTCATGGCATTGTTTTTAATATGAATTTTAACTGTTTACAATCAGTCTGATTTTTTTGTTTTTATGCATAATAATAAACTAAAATACATAATTCTATATTTACCTCCGACAATCAAATAAACGTTAGGAAAAACGTTTTTGGCCTGTTTCAAAAGTCTGGCGTGGCCCTGATGAAACAAATCAAAAGCACCATCGGCATAAACCCTCACAGGTCTGGAAGTGTGGCCCCTTTTTGCGGCCTCCAAGCCGATTTTTTGGGAATAGTCTGTGGCTTCGCGGATTTTTGTTGGACCCGGGTCTTCGCTGAAGGGTGCGGCCGTGCAGTTCACCTGCAAGGTCATTTTTATTTAATTGAAATTAGCAAATAATTTAAAATTAATGGGGGATATGAAAATTACCCCTACATGGCCGCACCCTTTTGTATAATAACATTAACTGAAATAAATTATTTCCAAATTAATAAAATTAATTCCAATGTACCTACCTATTTGCATTAATTGCAAAATAAGTACCTTTTAATTTTATTTTATCTGTGACATTAAAAGCTTAAGAAAAATAATAGATAATTTCTGAGGATAATTCAATCTTAAGGTACGGAGAAGGTCATTAGTAAAAGTGGATAGGAATATACAAAGTCTTGAAGTTGAATGTAATGTATTCAATAATGATCATTAACAGTATTTTCTATAATATCATGTATGTCCACAAGTAGGTCAAAATATAAATAATATCTAAGTATTGGATAATTTTTAAGTAATTCTTAAAGTTTTAATTTGTCTAATAGATTTTTTGCCAACTGTATTTTAAGCCCAGAGATGATAATTATTTCAATGCAATTAGTCAAATTTCAATGTCGACTAGTTTATAAATAGCTGGAGAGGAAGAAAATATTTTTTAAAAAGTAAATTATAGGTAGGTACCTACTTTAAAACACCAAGGAATAAATAGGATACCTACATTTTTATATTTTTTTTGAGATTTTGTGTTTAAATAATCATTTGGGATTCCTCAAACTCCACACACTAAATTATTCTGGGATTTGAAACCGAAATATATAAAAAAACGACCTCAGGAACAGTCAAAAATCTAAAAATTCACTCCAAATTGCTTAACATGGTTTTTTTTTTTGGAACCTCGAGTCCAAATGAGTTGGGATTTTCAAGGATTGTAGTCCTCTCTACTAGCATACGAATCGTAGGAATTTTTTATGTGTAAATCTAGAATTATGTTCATGTATTGTTGTTATATTATATTATTATCTGAAAAAAACCTATTTTGGTTTACGTATGGAAACAATAAAAATTAAACAATAATAATTACAGTGGAATTTGTCAAACTCGAAATATTCTCCAAATCAAATTTTCTTCACAAACAAATAGATTTTCACAGCCTTACTATGTATTTTTTTCTTCATAAGTTGAATTTTTAATCTTTATAACTCGAATATTTCTAAAACGTGAACTAAAATTTAGTGGCAACAACTAAGCGTAACTCAAATTTTTCGGGAAAGTACCTACTGCATTTAGTGCACTTGGCAAAATTACTAATTCTCAATAACCAGCGGTGACAGATAGACTTGTCTTGGCTTATATTATGTATATGTAACTACTTTTTTGTAATACATACATAATATAAATTCAAATATTCCCAATTTTGTGTATTTTTCCATTAATCGAATTTTCCATAACTCGAACTCGACTTTCTGTCCCTTGAGGAATCAAGTTAGGGAAGTTTCACTGTAATACAATCTCCATATTATTATTATTGCTCTCGTTATTGCTGTTTTGGCAAAAATACTGCAATACAATAATAAAATCAATCAAAGAAAAATATTGCTTAAAAACTTCAAGTGAACCCAACTATTATAATATGATTTGCTGACAAATCACTTAAATAAGAGAGGGCATCCATAGACAGATAAGCAGAAAAGAGGTTATCAAAATTTTTGGAAATTATTCCTACAGACAAATAAAAAAGAACAGGATGTTAAATACTGATTTTCTCTGATGAAAATAGTATTCATTATTACATAATTGCAAAATTGTTAGAATAAATTAATGAGTCATTATAGTCTTAAAATTAAGTTCCATTGATACATATGTCTAGCCAGAGCTGGTAAACAATTTTCTCTACTTCAATTTTATGGATGGATTTTTGATGGGTTCCTTAAGTAGATATAAATTAACAGAAAAATCTTATCAAAATATGCAGAAGAGGAGAGAGAATGTTCTAGAAGTTATCAGAAATTTCACAAATATTTTCAATCGCTCTTTGATACTTCTAATTGAAATTTCAATGTCTGAACGTGTTTTAATATGTTCGTGAAAGTTTTAAGTTAGTCATGTAACAATTTTCAAGATATTCTACAAATTTCCAGTTTTAAATTGTTTTCAAAAGTTCCACATGATTTGTGGGGTGTTCAAGATAATAACTTGAATCTTAACTTAAACTTTAATGTATCACTTCTCTTCTTTTCATGCATATGTGCAATCTCAGATAAGATATGGATTAATCTTTTGGGGAAACTTGTTGGAAGTCTCAAAAGTCCAAAAAAAATGTATTAGAGTAATTTTAAAAATAAAAAAAAACTGAAAGGTGTAAAAACCATTTTATAAACCTAAAAATTCATACAGTATTCAACCTGTACATTCTTGACTGTTTAAACTTTGTCATTAAAAATCCAAATATCTTTCAAACAAACATCATAACCCGCCCATATAGCACTAGATTCAAGAATAACCTTAAAACAGGGAAAGCAAATTTTACATACATACAGAAAAACGTAACACACAACATTCTTAAAGTTTGGAATACTCTACCAAATCCATTAAAAATCATGACACCAAAAGAAGTACAAAAGAAAGTTAGGATCCTCTTGAATCTAGGGCCTATTATCCGCTTGGGGAATTTTTTGAGGATAAAAATAAATTTTGTTATTGATTAATAACCTATTGATCTGTGATAATTTACCTTTTATTTTGTGATATATCTGTTTTGGATTTCAAACCCTGTCACTTTAAATTGTTTAAATAAATGTAAATGTGACGAAAAAGTGTTATGTAAAAGTGACATGCAATAATTGTAGATTGTAGGTACTAATTATTGTGAACCAGAAATCATTTTAAAGTCAGTTTCATAAATTTCTTTCTTTGAATGGTATGTTTAAATATTCAAATATTAGATGTAAGGACGAGTTCTATGCCACATAGGTATCAAGTATTTATTGTAATATTGAAGGAACAAGAAATATCTATCTATCTATCTATCTATCTTAAGCTTTCTTAAATGTTCCTGAAAGTTCGAAAGTGTTCTAGAATGTTTCTGAAGTTCTAATTTGATTCTAAACTGTTCTGTAGTGTTTCACATTGTTCTCGAAAGTTCCAATTCGTCTCAAACAAATGCAGGAGGGAATTCAAATTCTAAATAAGTTCAGAAGTTAATATTCTAAAAGTTTACACTCGAGTTTACAGTTCTAGATTGTTTTTAAAAGTTCCATTGTGATTTTTAGTGTTCTAAAATGTTGCCAAAAGTTCAGAAGTGTTCCGATCTGTTCTAGAATCTCTCTCAAACTCTTAAAGTGTTCTATAACGTTTTACAATGTTCTTAAAGATTTCAATTTGTCTCAAATATGTTTTTGCCTCTGTGCCTAGCAAAGGTTAATCATGTAATAGAGAAAAAATTTAACTGGAAATAATTTTTTCAGCAATTGATATCCGTTAAGTACTTACCTATTTTTATTTAAAAAGAAAAAAATCACTGATAACAACACAAATAGACAAACTTTAGATTAGATTTTCTACAAATTAACTTTTAAGACTACAAATCTTATATTGTTTTTACCATAAATGCAGTTCCAGGAAATGATGAAACAATTCAACATTAAATTGACATTATAATAAATGCCACTCAAAATTGGGAATAATTTCACATTTAAATTTAGGACTTACCGCTGTAATGGGTTGAATCTGAGTTGCTAATGGTAATAATGGAATTGTAACAAGCGAATCAGCTTCCGAATGACTGCGGGTCCTTTTTCTCGACATTGTTTGACCGTTTCTTAATAATTCCGTGTTCAAGTTCGCCTGTTGTATATCTAAAAACATATGTTTATGGAGTGATGTAATTTTTTTGTTGGGAACACACCTACCTAACATTGAAAAGGGTTTGTCTAGACTACTAGTGCTAGTAGTAGTTGAAATTGTTAGGAGAATTATTTTAATTTATTGTAACAAAAAAGCACTGAAATCACTTGATAAGGAACAATTTATTTTATTATTTATTTATTATAGAATCATTACAAATTCGGAAAAAAAAACTACTTTTCCCTTTAACTATTGAAGAATGAATGAATTTTGTTTTTCACTTTTCAAGAATGGTGTGTTGTTGTGTTGCTACAAAAATATTGGTGACGTGATAGTTGACAACATGGCATTTTGACTTTTACATGACAGATCCGTTTAGGTTGCCATGTTGCCGTTGCTTTTAAAGAAAAACAGCAGAATCAATTGAGGGGCAAAATGGCGCAGACTGTTTTACGTGGCTCTAGCAACACTAGCAACACTGCTCACGTATGTTGTGACGTCAAAAATCAGGCCACACTTGATCAATGGTCATTGTACTATAGATGCATCATACATCATACGATTCGTAGTAATTGGATCAAATTTTCAATTAATTGTGAAATTATTGTTTCAAATAATAATAGTAAATTAGGTATATACCTAGATAGAGAAGTTGGTCATTACATATCGAGCGCTTTTATATTAATTTTATAATGTACAAAAGATATAATGACTTAATTTCTCTACTGAAAAAAATAAAGAATTTTTTTACTACTGATAGTCAGCGTTGCCAGACTCTAAATATGGAAGTGTGGTACACAATGCTCAAAAACTGCCGTACAGGGACGTACGCGCCATGAATACTTGTGGTACACATTACCTTACGTTTTTAGTACATATGTATTTACTAGAAAAAATATGATTTGTTTGAGAGCGTAAAATGTTGAAAACTTGAAAATAGACCTTACAACAACAGGAGTATCTAATTATGCTGGGTTATGTAATGTGTCAATCAGAATCTAGTGAGATATAAATAGGTACTATATAGGAGGCCGAGTTCGTTTTTGTCATCTTTTTCGTCGATTTGCTTCGAAATTTTGACAGACACGTGACTGGATCAGACAGTTTCAATTCACAAATAACGTGCCTGTCAAAATTTCGGAGCAAATCGACGAAAAAGATGACAAAAACGAACTCGGCCATACACTGATAAACTGTCAATTGTGTCATACTCTACTCCCCTAATTCCATCCTCATCAAATTTTGGGCCTGCGATTGACGTCACTATCAGCAGCTTATAGTGATGACATCACCCGCAGACCTCGATGGAATACTCGCGATTCAGGCTGTGCTAGTGAGTTTGTGAATTTTTTCGTCGATTTTAAATGTAGAAAAAATAATTTTCGGTCTGTTTTCTCACAAGAAATTAAGTGTCCTTGATGATTCTCGAGTATCCCAGAATTTGATGGTGAGAGAGTTGGGGGAGTATGGTATGACACAATTCACACATCACATAATCAAGCATAATCGATAAATTATGCTTGATTGATTATCCTCGTGAAAAATTGCCTATAGACTGTTTTCAAGCCACAAGCTTTGAAAATCTGTCATAGATTTTTTATCCAATTTGGCCAACACACATAAGAAAAAAAGGAGAATGTAGAAATGTGGTACATATTACCATAAAATATTACCAATCAACCCAAATATTTCTAAACTGTGGTACTTTACCGTATTACCGTACGCATTGATTTTCTTGTAACGAATATGCCCTAAACTGTCGTACAAATACCACACCTGTCGTACGTCTGGCAAATAGACCGATCTCCTATTACCACTGCGCGCGTCGCTTGTAGGCTGCAGGTGAGCGTCCAATGAGAAGCAAGTTTATGACAGGCTTGCGTCATATTCCTATTCAGGGGCCAGTTCAGAATGAATCGTTCCTTCTTTCTTTGTAACGTGTAATTTGACAAAGAGCAAACTAATACTTTACATACCGTGCGTTCGTTATTTTGGTCTGAGTTCTCCGAGCTTGACTTTACCGTTCGTTTATTTAAAAAGTGTACTCGGTGTATCCTCATTCGCGTTCGTTTATTAAAATTTCCGGCACTTTTATACAGCGTTCAACTGCTCTGTTCGCTCGCTGGTCACGTGATTACGGCTCCGCTCAGCACGCTCTGCTCTTCGAGCAAAATACCGAACGCAAGGATATTACTTGAACTCACCGCAGTTTCGTTTAAGGTTATGTTAGATTAAACTTGACATATTCCTTTGCAATTTCATTGAGCGATGTTGCCGGATGAAACATTTATCAAAATAAAAGTGCAAACGATGTTTATCCACTTTAAAGCTTTTCTTTTGTCTGATTTAAGGCGTTGTGAAACACTTGAGACTATATTACTTCTTTAATCTTACAATGTTCGATTTGTATTGTCTACATTTGCTCTGCAACAATTCAATCTAGCTACACTGCAGCCTACGAGTTGCGCGCGCATGTCATCTTTTATTGTTTTCTAACTTGTATTTATTACAATGAAGCTTCCTTTTTCTAATCATGGGAGATAGGTCTATTGATAGTGCTGCCCTCTATCAACAGCTTATGGTAATTTCCTACGTCCATACAGAAACCTGTTTTTTGTTGCTGATCCTTATATATTGGGGCGAGTTCAGGAATGACACACCCAGTGTGAGTGTGACACCGGTGCGACGCCCTAGCTGTTCAAAAATAGCCGCTTTCTAGCTGACGCTTTTGAGCACGCAATCGAGCTTTTGCGCGCGCAAATGCTTCAAGGCGTGTTCGTGTTCCAGCCGTACTGCGCTTCGAGAGCTGCTTACTTTTGCGTTTCAAACACAGAACATTGTGCTGCCCTGTGCTTGGAGCACACAGCTGGAAAGCGGCTAATATTAGACGCTGCTATTTGCCCAATGGCCAATTGTCAATTCAAGCACACCCATGAAATCGCACTCTGTGCGTTATTTCTGAACTCGGCCCTGAGCCGAGCGCTCTTATAAACCGAGGTGCAAATAGGGTGGCCACCTTTCAATTTCCGGAAACCCGAACCGTTTTGTAACCCGTTTAGTTTAAGGCCGGATTTTCATGCATCCGTTTTCCGACGAAATATGTCCGAAAAATCTTCTATTTTGACATTCTTATACGATTATGTCAGAATAGAATGTTTTTCGGACATCTTTCGTCGGACAAACGGATGCATGAAAATCCATCCTAAACCGGAGCCACGTGAAAAGAACTAAAGATAATACACACTACTACTACAGGATAGCTTTGTCCTCATGGCCTGTCTAGATCTACTCTCAAATGACTCCCATGCTCCCCACCCACTGATCTAAAAAATTTTTTTGAGATCAGTGTCCCCACCACGCCAAAAAACCAGTGATGACGTAGGCAGCGTGTCGTTTCTCGCCTTGATTTCTGCGGGCTATTGCTTTATGCATACTTGGTTTTAGTGCATAAATTAACATTCCAAAACGACGCTTTTTCAGATCTCGTTTGCATCTTCCTCTTTGTCTATTATGTAAATCTAAATTAAATAATATTTTTCATCAATAATAGATCTGTTTCTGCAGAAATCACACACCAGTCAGAGTCAGAGCGAATTTTATTAGTTGAAAACAGCCAGAAAACTAGTTTCAACCAATGAAATTCACTTTGACTGGTTTGTGATTTCTGCAGAAACAAGCTTTATATTCTAAACTACGACCGCTGGCGCAAACAGCTGACGATGTGGTTGATGACGTCGTCAATGGTACTACACAATATGACCGCGATTCCCAAAAACGAGGCAAATGCCAACGAAAGGGACAAGGGTGGTACGCCACCCCTCATAGATACAGTTTATTTTGAAAACTAGTATTCATATACTTGATTTCAAAAACTAGATGGACAGGGAGAAACAGCACAAAGCAACAAACAAAACACCGTTCCGGTAACCGGACATTTTTATCATGCGTCCAGACACCGAACAACTCTTTGAAAAACCGGACAGTCCGGGTGAAAACCGAACAAGTGGTAACCACAACCAGTAGCCCGGTATTCATAGATGGGTGCTTGGCTCAAGCTCCTATTTTTGACAGTTGTGAGCATCGTTCCGTGCTGTTTTAACGCAAATAGGCATCAAGTCGTACTTGAGCGAAGACGCAACCTTGAGCATCGACTATCCGTGCGTTCGGTATTTTGATCTTAGTCCTCCGAGCTTGAATTTACCGTTCGTTTATTTGAAAAGTGTACTCGGTGCAGGTCCATTCGCGTCAATGTCGACCCGGTTAAAATATTTCAAGATGGTGGCTCTTCTGGTTATACCAGAAGTAAACGTCGACTTGCTAATTTTAAATGAGACACCCTGTATGTGTGATTTAGATTCTAGGTTCTACGTGAAATTCTGAGCAGATTTCATGTGATATACGCTATACCTTAGTTCTGATAGGCTCAAGGCTGTAAAACCTTAACAGTTAATTTTAGAGGAAAACCGATTTCACATTACCATCTTAAATTTGTCATAAACTATCATTTTTCCACACCAACTTTGAATTTATGGCGAGTTTATAAAAAAAGTAATACTTGAACAAATTTAAGAAAATTAACTTAGGGCCGGTTTCTCAATAACAGGTCACCTCCAGGTTAAGCTAACTCTAGGGTAAACATTGCAATTTTACACGTTAACCCTGGAGTTAAAACCAACCCGGGGGTGACTCGCTATTGAGAAACCCGCCCTTACAACTAAGAATTTCAACGTGCACTTATAGACGTCTTTTTCTGTTGAACCATGTTTCAAAACTGGTTCGATTGCTACGTCATCATATCGGACCGGTGTTGATCAAAAATGCCCTGTTTTAAAACGGAGCCCGTGACATGTCTAAAATTATTGTTTAAAGGGTACTTTGAGGTCAGCTGTTTAACATCTATTTTGAAACAGGCTGAAAGAGTGTTTCGAAACTGGTTGAACCGTTTCCGTATATGACGTCACCGTTGCAACACAAAAATGTAGCGTTTTGAAACGTTTCAAAACATTTCAAAACATTCCGTCAGAAAAAGACGTCTTATGTAGTTCTTAATTCTTAGTTGACAAGTCTTAATTTTTTTATGAACCGCTACGTTACATATCATAACGTCAACTATTATTTAAGTTAAATGTTAATTCTACGAAGGCGTAGAAGGGACATTTATTAAATTTTTATTTGCTGTTATAGATGCACAATTAATTCCGTGTTAACTAACTCGGAATAAATCCCCTCCTATTTAAGTCCGTGTTAACTAACTCGGAATTAATCCTCTCCCATTTAATTTCGAGTTAACTAACTCGGAATTAATGTCCTTTTATTTAATTCCGTCTTAACTAACTCGGAATTAATGTCCTCTTATTTAATTCCGTGTTAACTAACTCGGAATTTATCCCTTCCCATTTAATTCCGTGTTAAATAACACGGAATTAATGTCCTTTTATTTAATTCCGTCTTAACTTACTCGGAATTAATCCCCTCTTATTTAATTCCGTGTTAATTAACTCGGAATTAATCCCCTACCTATTTAATTCCGTGTTAACTAACTCGGAATTAATGTCCTCTTATTTAATTCCGTGTTAACTAACTCGGAATTAATTAAGACGGAATTAAATAAAAGGACATTAATTCCGAGTTAGTTAACAAGGAATTAAATAGGAGGGGATTAATTCCGAGTTAATTAACACGGAATTAAATGGGAGGGGATTAATTCCGAGTTAGTTAAGACGGAATTAAATAAGAGGACATTAATTCCGAGTTAGTTAACACGGAATTAAATAGGTAGGGGATTAATTCCGAGTTAATTAACACGGAATTAAATAGGTAGGGGATTAATTCCGAGTTAGTTAACACGGAATTAATTGTGCATCTATACCAGCAAATAAAAATTTAATAAATGTCCCTTCTACGCCTTCGTATAATTCTTAGTTTAAGTTTAGTTTTTTTTTTATAAACTCGCCATTAACCAGAGAAGAAATGTAGAAAACTGAGGGAAAAATAGTAAGTAATGTAAATGTAGAATTTCATCATTTTTTTTATTTTAACTGTACTAGAAAAAGTTGATGAAGTATAAAAAGTCCTGGTTTTACTTTTAAGTCACCTGAAAAATACTTTCAAGATATATTAAAAACCTCTTTCATCAATAATTATTATAGTCAACTGGAAACTATAATACCTACAATGCGATTAAACGTTTATTGTTTTAAATATCAAAAAATTATATACACATTTTGGTAACCTTTCCAAAATAAAAAATACAATCACACCTTGCGTAATAATTAACATAATACCTATTTATTGAATCCTACATTCATAGGCATCAAAATACTTGTCGGTTTTAACAATTCGCGATTTTCCATTACAAAGTTTCAGAACAGTGATTTATTTATTAGCCAATATGTTAATATGGTCGTCTGAATACACCACTGAAAAGCATAGCATTCAGTACTTTATCGTAAACAAAATAAATGAAAGGATGATTGCAAATGAATTGCGCTGGTTCGGCTGGTCTACTGGATCTGAAGCTGAACAATACAGTAGCTGCAGCTGCTTTGGTACCTTCTTCGTTCACTTCGATTTTGGCTTTATGCAACGCGTTGCCTACACTGACTTGTCCTTGCTCGATCAAACCCGATAGATCTGAGTTTTGTTGGAAGAGGTCTCCAATTCCCATTTTTTCAAGCACCTAATAATAAATAGACTTTCGTAGAAATATTTTATTTAATTTAAATTAGTCTTATAATAAAAAAAAAAGAGTATTAGTTTTGTTAAAAACATCATGGTCTTCTAAAGACTCCGGTAAATAAAATGGTGTGAGTGTTGGCGTTGTAGATTAAATAAACGAAAGGTTTGTCGCATCTGAATTGGATTGGTGGTTCTTCGTCGTCGCCCATTCTCCAAGACAGAAAAGCAGTGGCTGCTGCGGCGTGAGCTCCATTTTCGTTAATTTCGATTCGGGCCTTGTGGATGCCCTCGCCAACTGACACCGTATCGTCGGTTAGAGTGTGAAAGTTTGCGTTCTCTTTGAAAAGGTTGCCAACACCAAGGGATTCAAGGACCTACCATATACCAAAAAGGTTAACGTTAGTATTTTACCCGTGATATGGTTATTTACATATAGATTTTTAAATTATCAGTTAATGTTATTGAGAGCTCTGATCCAACAGCCATGAGAACTGTTCTAGAACGGTAATTTCCAGTCAATCAATCAATTTATTTCACTTCAACTTATTGAAAAATAGGTGGCCGTTCTGGAACGGTTCTCATGTTGGTTGAAACAGAGCTTAGTAGGATAACCAAAATCTCAAAGTAATACTTACTGGAACTAATTCGACTGTTGTTTCCAAACTGAATTTGGGCAAAGCCACTTGCACTGTTCGTGAAATAAGCGAATTTCTGTTGACCACAGTTTTGAAATTTTCAATATTGAGGTTTTTCAATGTGGCGTCAATGGAATCTTCGGTATTGGAAAAAGGCGGAAGTAAAACATACATGCTGATATTGTCGCCTTGATAGGGTAGTTCGAGAATGTGTGCTCCCAGTGTTTCAGAGACATCTAAAACAATTTAAATGATCATTTGGGATCCCCCAAACTCCATACGCTATATTATTGTGAGATTTGAGCTGAAATCTATGAAAGAAGGCACTCAGAAAAATTGAAAAATTGATAAATCTACCCCAAATTGCCTAATGCGATTTTATTTCTGAAACTATAAGTCCGAATGAGCTGAAATTTTCAGGGTTTGTAGTCCTCTACTACTGAAATAAGAATCGCTGAAAATTTCAGATTTCTATTTTTAATAGAAAAAAGGTATGACCTTCCAAAGTTTTCAAAAAACTGAACCTTCTTACTAAAACGATGACATTTCAATTTTTTTTTGTTGAGATTTTGTGTCCTAATGGTCCTTTCGGATCCCCGAAACTCCATATATTTACTAAATTATTCTGAGATTTGGAGCCAGATTCTATGAAAAAAGGCACTCAGAATAATTAAAATTTAAAAATTGATGAATCACCTCAAATTGCTTAACACGATTTTATTTCTAGAATTATAAGTCTGAATGAGCTGAAATTTTCAGGGATTGTAGTCCTCTACTGGGATAAGAATCGCTGAAAATTTCAGCTTTCTAACTCTAATAGAAAAAAAGTTATTAAAAGTTTTCAAAAATCTAAATCATAAGGACAAGCGAATATGATAGGTCTATTTCTGCAGAAATCACAAACCAGTCGGAGTGAATTTCATTGGTTGAAACTAGTTTTCTGACTGTTTCTGACTGTTTCCAACCAATGAAATTCGCTCTGACTGGTTTTTGATTTCTGCAGAAACATACCTATTAATGTGATGACAGATGACTTCTGTTGCTGTCAACAAAGTGTCGAGAGACAAAAATTATTATATGTGTCAAAAAAATTACGGTTTTTTTTCAAACCGTCAATTTTTGACATAATATATCGATGCGATTTTTTTTTTAGGGTTTTTGGGGTCCGGGCAAGCAAGAATGGTCCAGAAATCGTTATTCGCCATTTTTTTTTTTTTTTTTCGAGAAACGAAAAATAGACCTATCTATTTTTACCTGGTATGCGCGCGCAACACGAGGCAATGTCTTTTTATTGGCTAGCTAATACAGGTGAGAGGTGATCGTTTTGCACGCTGGGCATCTCTTTATCCTTGTTCATTGCACGTGGTCTGACAAGAATAAATCTAACGTTGATATTCAACTTGACAAGTGTCATTCAAAAGTTGTTTGACAATCTCATTGACAAATACGTTGCACAACACGCGGTTTTTCTCCTTTCCTTTTTATCCTGTGCAAATAAGAAGGACGGATTGCTATACGTAAGTCTAGCATAATTTGGTACGTTTTGCCTCGTCTTGCGCATTGAGCGTTCTGTGTCTTTTTTTATTCAATGAAGTTTTCATATTATTACCTCTTTGTCTGGTAAAATAGATAGGTCTATTGAGAATAAACTGTTTTGCATTGAAACTGACAATAAAAATTTTGACACTGACAGATAGCTTATGACATATATCCCGTCATGTACCGAGTTTGGTTACAGTGACTCTATTTCCCACAGTGGCGACAATTGCTGTCTTATTTTTGATTGGTTCTAAAATCCCATATATTTATATTGAAAACGCCGCCATCTTGTTCCCATCTATTGCTTATTTCAAATATGAATATATGGGATTTGGGTGAACATCCATCACAAAACATGGAAAACAACGTATTTGATGGACCTAATAATAGTCATCAAATACGTCGATTTATGAATTTTTTATGAAAGATGTCCATTTAAAACTTATAAATTCATATTTAAAAGTAACAAGAGGTTGGGAACAAAATGGCGGCGGGACCTCTATTGTCGCCACTGTATGTAAAGGTTTATTTAGCCACTGTAAGTTTGGTGATCACAGCCTTGTATGGGCTGTTTTCGATTCGCTTTGGTCCGTCTTCAAGGCGAACCAAATTAGAACCAACCGTTTTCGATTGCAAACCGGTGACGTGACAGGCATCCCTTGGTCCGTCTAAATTCGAACCAGCTTCGCGAGTTGGTTCGAATTTTGGTTTGAATTTTGGCTTGCTTTCATAACCTTAAAACATGGCGTCTTTCTTGACAGAAAAAATTCAAAAGCTGTCAACCAACTTTTGTTAAATCCGAACCAACCAAGGCCGAACCGGGCTGCGAATCGAAAACGGCCATTGGTAAAGCAGCTCCGGAGAGAGGCAAACATGTATCAGATTTGACAGGTGACATATGTCAATATCACCAAAACTTCGGGCGTCAAAAGTCGTAAACGTAATAACTTTTTTTACGTTGACAGTTGTCAATTTTTTTTTTGACACTGACAGGTAGCCCTAGTCGAATAATCGTTACCTATGCACCGAGTTTGGTGGTTGTAGCTTGTATGGTGAAGCGGGGGAAAATAAAGCAAACGACCTTATTGACACATATTCCAGTCGCATGACATCTGTCAAATTTTTTTTCACAGGTGACGTAAAAATGTTTCAGAAAAATCTGGTAGCAAGATCTGGGAAAATTTTGAAATTGGTTTCTGCTTATCATATTTTTGACATTGACGTATATCAAATTTGACGTTAGAATTTTTAAAATAATTTTTTCTATTTTGGTGTCATATCGAAGTCTTTTCGACACTAAAAGTAGTTTCGAAAAGAAGCTCTTTGTGACACTCCTTTTTTACTTATCGGAGGTTGGTAACACTGGCTGACTGATGGCCATCGAACTGTCATTCGCGATAAAAAATAATAGATTTCTATATTTGGCATGTAGTGTTGCCAACCTAAACATATGAAATCAGGAAATATGAGAATAAAATTTCCAAGAAGAGTTTGTTTTTTTCAATTAAACAATACCAAAATAGAAAAAATAGTATAAAATATTCGTTTCATAAGACATTTTATCGCACTCGCCCTTTAGAAAACTCGCCTCCGGCTCGTTTTCTAATATAGGGCTCGTGCGATAAAATGACGTCTTATGAAACTTGTATTTTAATGTACTATTTGAGTGAACTTTTTTCAGGCAACGTTCTGATATTTGAACGACAATGGAGAGTCATTTGAATCTCGTTACTCGAGAGAGAAGAAAGATATAACCTAAAGAGACAGAGAAAGACAGCTATTGATTAACACAAACCAAGGACTATAAACGCAAAGAGGATTTCCTATTATTGACAAGCGCCGATATTGACACAAATCAAGGATTATAAGCGTAAAGAGGATTGCCTATTATTGACCGATAACATTGTGACGTCACTATAGATGCGCGTCTCCCTTTTGTTATAGGTGTTTTGTGATTATTTTCGTTATTTATACATTTGTGCAGCATTTGTGTGCTGCGATTTTTTTGAATATATCCGTGAACTGTCATTATGACGTGAGTATATTGAAATCATTAAAAGCTCTAAGATTAAAATATTATCAAAAATGATATTAGGGTCGGTTTCTCAATAGAAAGTCACCTCTGGGCTGGGGTAAGCATAACTTCAGGGTAAATATTGCAATTTGACACGTTTAACCTAAAGTTAAAACCAACCCGGAGATGTTTCGCTATTGAGAAACCGTCGCTTAGAAACGAAGAAAAACAGCCATTGATTGCCACAAATCAAGGATTATAAGCGCAAAGAAGATTGCCTAATATTGTCTTGTGACGTCACTACAGATACGCGTTTCTCTTCGTCTTTACTCCGACTCATACGCTAACCGTGCGTTCGTTATTTTGGTCCGAGTTCTCCGAGCTTGACTTTACCGTTCGTTTATTTAAAAAGTGTACTCGGTGCAGCCTCATTCGCGTTCGTTTATTAAAATTTCTGGCACTTTTATACAGCGTTCAACTGCTCTGTTCGCTCACTGGTCACGTGATTATGGCTCCGCTCGGCACGCTCTGCTCTTTGAGCAAAATACCGAACGCAAGGTATGTCTAAAAGTTGTATTAGGGGGAATTTTAAAAAAGTTTCGCTTCTACCACGTGTACGGCGCTGCACATGATTTTTTTTTATGTTCAGATTTTGTTACTAAACGTTCGTTCGGGATCCCCCAAACCCAAACTCCATACACCAAATTATTCTGGGATAACGGATTACATTCACTGAATATTTCATCTGAAAATTTGAGTCAAAATAAATATTTATCAACTTAAGTATAGTAATAATTTCTAACTAAAAAAGTTTTCATTACCATGCTTGAAAGTTCCTTCGACGTGCATCATATCGACCATAATTTGCTTCGTGGGACTCACGTAGAAAATTTCCGGTTTGGTCAGGTTTGGATTGAACTTGTTCTCCCAAATTCCTTTGAAGTAGGCCGCATTTACCAGTACCAAACTGGTAGAAGCGTCGATGGTACCTGCCGGTAGTAGATCTTTGATCATGTGATGAGTGGTGGTTTCTACCCAGTTGTTTATGGATAATCTAAAGGATTTTATTTAAGTTTTTTTTTTTGTAGGAAAAAATAATATTCATACCTGCATTGTTCTGGATTGGTTTTAAATGGGAATGATTCTAGTTCATCGGTGAAGTCATTTTGTACGCATTGTCTTATTTGGGTTTCATTAGACACGTAGATTTTGTTGGCACTTGTGAATTCGTACAGGGAATTATTACTTGCAATGAATTTGGTCATAAATTTATCCAATTTGTAGGCAGCATAAATGTCTGATTTTCCCTAAAGCAATATATAAATATGACTCATTAAATATTTTAAAGAAAATGAAAATTCTTACTTGATTTTCTCCTAATCTCAATACTTTCTTCAAGTATTGTTCAGTTTGACCACCAGCCATAAAGTAAGCGATCAGCAACGCGTGGTAAGTAGAATAAGGTGAGAAAAATAGGTTTTCTTTTGGCATTACTTTGTTGATGGCGTTTAGTAGGGCCAAAGAAAACTCTTGTTGACCGCCGTAAAGGCTGGCACGAGAATGCTGAGCCGGTTGATTGTCTTGGTAAGGTCTAAAACAGCCTTGTTCTTGAATCATCTGAGCTGACGTTACAGTGGCGAGGAGTAAAGGAAATACTAGTAGGGGATTCATTATGAAGCTGAAAAAAAATTTAATACCTACATCAAAAATTCACATTCAAATAATAAGAATAATATCGAAGATAAGTTTATATCAGTGGGAGAAAGTGTTTTTACATGACCCAGAACCAGCTTGAATTAATCACTTTCTCAATACAGTGACACGCGATGAACTTGTTCAAATATTACGGGACTTTTTATTATGTTTAAGAATCTGATGAAATTCGCAGAGGTTTCTGCAAAATGATAAAATGTATTTGTTTTATGTTTTCAAGTGAAATCCTTATGAGTAATTGAAAACCCATGCACTATGCAGCAATGAATAAAACCGTTGATAAAACCAAAAAGTAAATTTCTGATAATTATTGCTCATGAAATATTGTGTAGGTATTTTTTCAATTACATATTACCAAATTAGTCGTAAAAAAAATAGAATTTGTTTATTTTATTTTTTGCAAATGCTGGGTACATTGTATACCCAATTGATTGTAAATCTCACCAGACTTTGTCATAAAATAGATAATTATTTGAAATATGTATACACAAAATACATAAAAATGCTATTTCAATCATAGACGAACATTTCGAATAAAAGCTTTTACAAATAAAAACAATGTCATAATTGAAATATATTCGCAGGAAAGTAGTAGAAAAAATGTTGTATGTAACATGTGTGTATAAAGCTCCTTTTTTCACTCATGTTAAACCAATATCTAACATCATTCGTCAATGTTTTAAATTATCCAGAATATTTTATGTACTTTTTCTGACCCAAACTCATCTTGAATTTTCAAAAATTCGTACCAAAATACCAAACAGTTGGTTGACGTTTCGACTTATATTATATTTAATTGTCCTCAGGACACTAAAATGGGGAATACAGTAGTTATTACGTATTTCTTAAAAAATATAACATTTTGGTTGGTTCTATATTTTCAAATTTAAAGCACAATAATCAATATTGTATGCCTATAGTACGTCTTAAAAGTAGGTACTTATGTTCTTTTTAAATGTATTTATCAGGATTTCAATCTAGACTTAGTGTCCTGAGGATGACTTTATATAGTCGAAACGTCGACATATTATGAGTGAACAGGTTTTTGTTTGAGTTTATCGAACATTGAATATTTTCCAAAAATGACACCGAGACAGTTTTTGTCTCATAGTTCCATTAATTTTCATCCGATTTCAATGCAATTAGACTATAATTAAATTATCTACAAACTTATTAGTTAAGATTTTTATGCACTTCAGGGATTAAAAGTACCCTTTTAATACCTTTTTTAAGGGAGTAAAGTGGGTCTTTTAATCCCCGGGATTAAATTTCACTTTATTTCCCGGGGATTAAATTTTCACTTATATTTCCCGGGGATTAAAAGTACCCTTTTATTCCCTGTTTTATTTAATCCCCGGGAAATAAAGCAAAGTGCATAAAATAGTGTATACACCTCAGGACTAAAGTGTTTTTTAATCCCTTAAAAGTATTACTTTAGTCCCTAGGTGTATAATGTACTATAATTTGTTTTGCACCTGAGAAGCTTCAAAATAGAATTTGTCGAACATTGATAAATTTCCAAAAATTACACTGAGACAGTTTTTGCCTCACAGCTCTGTTAATTTTCATCAGATTTCAGTCTCTACAACCCTATTAATCAAGATTTTAATTTTCTTTCACCTAAGAAGCTTCAATTCAATTCAATTCAATTGCTTAACACGATTTTATTTCTGGAACTGAAGTCTAAATGAGCTGAAATTTTCAGGGATTGTAGTCCTCTACTGCTGAAATAAGAATCGCTGGAAATTTCAGCTATCTATCTTTAAAAGAAAAAAAAGTTATGACCTTTCAAAGTTTTCCAAAATCTAATTCATAAGGTAGCTAGCTACCTCGGTAGGTAGGCACTAAAACGATAAAATTTCAAAAATTTTCATGTTAGGATTTGGTGTCTAACTAATTATTTAGGACCCCCCAAACTCCATAAAATAAATTATTCTGAGATTCGGAACCGGATTCTATGAAAAAAGGCACTCAAAAAAATTGAAAAATTGATAAATCATCCCAAATTACTTAACACAATTTTATTTCTGCAACTGTAAACTGTAAGTCCAAATGAGCTGAACTTTTCAGGAATTGTAGTCCTCTACTGGGATAGGAATCGCTGAAAATTTCAGCTTTTTAACTTTAATAGAAAAAAAAGTTATGATTTTTTTAAAGTTTACAAAAATGTAAATTTAAAGAAGAAATGTGAGAAAAATTGAGAAAAAATTCAAGTGCCGGGAATAAACCAAAAATTACGTTTCACGGACTTGTGCGTAAGGTAATTCACTTTACACAATCAGAAAAGGTTTAACAAACTATTATTGTATTAGTTTTTTTGCCAAAATGCATAAATACCCACCCCACAAGTATAAAACTTAATAATTTAAGAACCTAGGTATAAGATGTGATATATTTACTTTACACACATGTGTGTAAAGCCCCTTTTTTCACTCATATGATTGTCAAAATTCACTTTACACACTTGTTAATGAGTGTGACAATGAAATATAATGACTAATAGTATGTCAAGGTTGCTGACCAGCAAAGAGAGATTATCTCTGTTATTATTTGCTCTGTTTTAATTGGGTTTTTTTTGTATTCATTCATGATGCGTTGGTGTAACAAACAAGAGACCGTGACTTACAAAAAAATGGAAATTTGCAATTCCCCATTGTGTATTTGTCATTGAAAAAATTAAACATTTCTCTGGCCAGTAGATTGACTGTAGAATAATATAACTGAATCAGTGTCCCAAATATAAAGATTTTAGAATCAAACAATGCTTCTTTCAATAGCCGTCACTTTTAAAAATAGAAAAATTTTAAAATTTACGTAATGCCAAATTTCTACAGTAATAGAAAGATGGGTTTCGGGTTTCACAAAAAATAATGTCTCGGTATTTCCATTGAGAATGGTCATTTTATTAGTACCGGATCTCAGATTTGGCTTGGAAATACCATATAAATGATCAATGAAATATTTAAAAACAGCCTAACACAAATAAGTACTTCGAATAAAGAATAAATGAAATTTCTTACAATGAAAGTAGGTACCTAATTAATAACCCTAACAATAACAATAATATACCTAATTCAATGCCAAAACGGATTTTAATTTAAGCGAGCGCATAATTTGGGTTTTCCCATTATTAAAAACAATTTTTTAATGATACGTTATTGGTGTTTTGTGTTAATATTGTAATTTTATAATTTGCCAAAACACTGATGTTTGTTACATTATATATTGCTTTTAGAAAATACTTTACTATTTGGCAACGCACACGTAAAAAAAAAATCTCCACTTTCTACTATTTTGTAATGAATTATTGCAAAAAAAGAAATTCAATATTTTCTCCAATATAGTATTCGACGCCTCTGTAACCACCGCAACCCAATCAAAGATCAACTTTTGAAGATGATCTCGCGATACCCTCTACATTACGATAAAAATTAACATTACAAACCTTAATAATTTTTCAACTAAAACACTAAACACACATGCAAATATTGTCACTATTGTTTATAACTGAAATAGTTGTTGTGGTCTCTTCAGAACCACAAACTGGTTTAATTAATGTGCGATTTCGATGAGGGACCCAAACAATTTACTGGTAGTACCCAGAGCGCAAAGCGGTTACCAGCTCGCAAGTGGTACTGCCGGGAGTAACATCGAATCAGTGGCGTGGTATTTTACAGTAATTATTGTTTGGTTGACGTCAGAGATTATTTTTGAAAGTTTCATGAATGACGTCCCAACATAATAGATTCTTTGATAATAGGTACTAAAATATGTTGAGATTTTGTATCTAAATGATCATTCGGGACCCCACACACTCCATACATTAAATTATTCATACAGCAGAAAAATTGAATTATTGATAAATCAACCCAAATTGCTTAACACGATTTTATTTCTGGAATTATAGGTCCAAATAAGCTGAAATTTTCAGGGATTGTAGTCCCCTAATGGGATAAAAATTGCTGAAAATTTTAGCTTTCTATCTATAATAGAAAAAAAGTTATGACGTTTCAAAGTTTTCCAAAATCTAAATCATAAGGTAGCTACCTCAGTAGGTACTGAAACGATGAAATTTCATTTTTTTTTTTTTCACAAGATTTTGTGTCCTAATGGTTCTTTGGGATTCTCCAATGTCCAAACACTAAATTATTCTAAGATTGGAGCCAGAATCTATGAAAAAAGGCACTCAGATATATTGGAAAATTGATAAATCATCCCAAATTGTTAATACGATTTTATTTCTGAAACTATAAATCCAAATGAGCTTAAATTTTCAGGGATTGTATTCCCCTACTGGAATAAAAATCGCTAAAAACTTCAGGTTTCTATTTCTGATAGAAAAAAAAATTATGATGTTCTTAAGTTTACAAAAATCTAAATCATCATCAAACATTAGTACTAAAACGAGGATTTTTTGTTTGTTGAGTTTTTGTGTCTTAATGATTCTTTGGTACCCCCCAAACTCCATACACTAGATAATTCTGAAATTTCAAGCTGAATTCTATGAAAAAAGACACTTTAAGTCCAAATGGGCTGACATTTTCAGGGATTGTGGTCCTCTACTGGGATAAGAATCACTGAAAATTTCAGTTTTCTATCTTCAATAAAAAAAAAGTTGTGACCTTTCAAAGTTTTCCGAAATCTAAATCATAAGCTACCTCACTACTAAAATGATGAAATTTAATATTTTTTTTAGCTTCCTAGATAGGAAGATGGTGATAGCCCGATTTTGACAATGTCAAAATTTCATTAAATCTTGACGTTTTGGATCATTTTAAGTCTTTTTGTCAAGGTGGCACATTTCCGTCTGTGTGTATGTAAGTGTGAGTGTATGGGCACTTTCCAAATTTCACCGATAAATTGACCGGTTAAATAAACCGGTAGTTGTCCAAAAAATCCGGTAAAAGTCAGATGCAAGTCCGGTTACAAGATCTCTCTGGTGCATTTTGGAACGCTTTGGTGTCAAAGTTTGCTGGTGTTGCTTATTATTTTTTGGAATGGATTTTTTTGTGGGATGCAGTGAGGTTGGTATGTATTTTTATTATTTTTAACAGTTAACAAACGGTAGTTTTCAGTACGATTTTTGTAGATTATGTGAGCTGAGTATTTGGTTTGTCGATTTCATAATGACGCCCACGCACAAACATTTTTTTATTCTGCCATCTGCAAGCAGCAATTTAACAATAGACTGCCAATAGTGCCCATTCAAAGCAATTAAATTAATGTACGTAAAAAAAAAGTGTCAATAAACCTTCAACCGAAAAAACCGACAAAAATTCCCGGTGGATTCGGTGCCTCACCGGTTTTAAACAGCTGATCATTCCGCTCAATTTTGGAACGAACGATCGGGTTCAACCGGTAAAAAGTCGGTACATTTTGGAACGGTTTGGTGAGTAAACTATTAAACCGGTATCGCACCGGTTCAGAAACCGGTGAATTTTGGAAAGTGCCCTTTGTGTGTGTGTTGGCATTTTTCTGAGAAAACGGCTCGATGGAATTTGATGAAATTTTGGAAATAGGTATAAGAAGACGTGTAGGGAAAAGTTACGCAGAGATATAGGAGAAAAAATAATTCCTCTCCAAAATATGACGTCATTGATCTTTTTTTTAAATGGGAACGCCATCTTTTTTTTCATTGATTGGTAAGAGCTCATTTTGCTTTATACTGGGTGAATCCGAAAGTGAGGTGTTTTTTTTGACGGGATATATATCTCACCAAAATAAGTTGTTTGGCAAAAAATTGTTTATAAAAAAAATTTAAGATAACGGAGTTACAGGTATTTCAAGGTCTTAAGAAGACTCCAGGGTCCTTATTCTCCAAACATGGGAGCAGCATTCTTATGAGAACGAAGGTCCTATCTTCGCCGCCCTATTTGCCCATACTCATGTTTGCATAACACTGACAAAGACCAGAACAATCGTTCTCATGAGAACGCTGTTCCCCAGTTTCGAGAATAGGCATCCAATTATAAAACATTTTGCTTACATTTTCTCGGAAAAAAGCAGTTATTTATCCAGCATAATGGTTTTTTTTCCATAATAGATAATCTACAGTTGCATTATTCCATCAGAAAAATCAATCAAAAACTCCTTTTTCCATTTTCAACTTAATTATTTTTATATCTTCAAATACCTGTACCTCCGTTATCTTAAATTTTTTAAGTAAAAAAAATTTTGCCAAACAACTTATTTTAGCGAGATATATACCCTGTTAAAAAAAAAGCCTCACTTTCAGATTCACCCTGTATAAAAAAAAAAAAAAAAATTTAAAAAAAAATTAAGGTCAGGTGGGGTAAGTGGGTACTAAAAATGTAAAAGGTTGACTTTGGGATCGTGTAACTTTTACAAAAGAAAATAGACAGACTTCATCTTTTGACAGTTATTACTTGGTTATGTTGTTAATATACCCTGGAATTGTAGCTATTGCCTATGCAAAATTAAAAAAAAAATAAAAAATATAAATGCGGTCTCTCCAACCCACTTGCCCCGGCTATTGGGGCAAGTGGGTTTCGTCTTGGTAAACCGCATATACACAGCATTGCATCTTTTTGGGGCAAGTGAGTTTGTAATATGCTGTTTAAGCTACAACATAGTTTTTGCAGATCTGAAAAATTCCTAAAAATACAGAAGTTATGAACTATTTAAAAAATGATGAATTTTACAAAGAAAAATCAATGGAGTTGAAAAAAGGTCTTTATTCTTACATATTGGAAATTACATCACAAAACTAAAACACAACTTCTTTAACCAAAAATAGGCAGCAAAACACTACCCAAAAATTCCTTGGTGACAACAGAAAATAGTTACTTATTACTTACTTATAGAACGTTATATGTTGAAAATTCAACCGAAAATATTACTTCCCCTCTTCTGCCAAGATTTGGCTCTGGAAGAGGCATAATTACAGCGTTTTCAGAGACCACACTTTCATCTTCCACTTCTGGCCAGTAGAATATAGGTTTCACCGTGTCTTCCTTCTTTCTTAAAAATTTTACTCTTATCTCATCGTCAATAAGTTCTAATATTTGCCCTACAAAGAATTTCTTTGTCTTTTTAGTGGCAAATTCCACTAAGACCCAAGTACCAACTTTAATATTTGCCTGATGGCTTATCAGTCGTTCATCTTCCTCTTCCTGTGTCTCTTTTTCTTCACGTTCATACCTCATTTTCAATTCCTCTAAAGTTTCATCATCGCTGTCACTACCTGCATAACTTTCCACTTCTAAAATGTCACTCTCTTCGGAACTTTCAGGATCTTTTGCTTTGACTGGTTTGGTTTTAGTTTTTATTGTAAGCCTTTTAGGGGTTTGCTGGGATTTTTCGACTTTTTTGTTGTTTGTCATTATTCTTTCGAGTACCTCCCGGCTAGTTATGACCTCGGCCCCAATGGCTACCCTCTTTTTTGTTTTCTTCTCGTCACGTTGTTTTTGCTTAATTTCTTGTAGCATTAAACTTTCGAATGAATTGGATTTTAGATCATTATGTTCGATAATATCATTTGCATTTGTACGTCTCGATATTCCAGAGGTAGATGGGGCTTCTATGTCAGGAACATTTAGAGGAGTTTGAGTGTTAAGAACATTTTGGGGATTCTGAATAATTTCTATATCAACCGAGTTTTGTTTATTGTCCCATCTGCGTAGAGCTTCGGGGTCGTATTTTTCACGACTTATGACAAGGCGATTAAATGGATGAATACCCCCCATGTAAAGTTATTTTATTTATATATTTTATAAGCCTTTTTAATTTGTTGTAAATAAAAGGTCTAAATTATGTACAGTATTTTATTTATTTGTCTTACTTGTATATATGGTTTTATAAAGAATGAGCCCCTTCTCCAATGAACTGAGAGAAGGTTTTTTTTGATAACTTTTGCCCTATATGTTTTCTTTGCCAGGAAACAAGTTTAGCATCCCATGCATCTTTCATTGCCTTGAAAACTGCCAAGTCAAGAGGCTGGAGTAAATGACTAGAATGGGGTGGTAATTTCAGGATAATAATGTTATTGTCAATGGCCAGACGTATTGTGCGTTCATCCACATGTGTCGAATGACCGTCATAAATTAATAATATGGGCCTTTCATCCGGTACGCTTGGTATAAAAGTTTTTTCAATATACCGAAGGAAGACGTCAGCCTCCATCCATCCGTTCTTGGTAGCAGCATACGCCGTGTTAGGAAATGCAACATTTTCCGGAGCTATCCACTCATCCCAAATATATTTCGCCTTAAATATAATCATTGGTGGCAATTTATGTCCTGTGGCGCTTCCTGCTACAAGCACCGTTATGTTCTCTTTGGCTGGTCCGCTTGTAGTTCGGAAGGATGGTGTGTTTACTTTTCCCACAATTTTGGACTTTGTGGGATCTAGACAAAAGCTAGACTCATCCAAATTGTACATTAAATGAGGTTTCTCATCAAATTTGTGTTTAATAATAAGTTGTTCCAACAAATCGAAATATTCATTGATTGGGAATGGATCTACTGCTTTTTTTCTTGCAAATTCAACGGCTTGCGGTTTTTTCAATGATAATCGATGTCTTTGCTTGAACTGGAGGAACCAGTCTTCTCCAGGGCGACCATTCTTGAAACATGTGTTTAAATTGTTTCTCTTCACGTAGTTCTGCACCAAATCGAGAAGT